TCACAAACAAAGCATCAGGAGCGTAGGGATGCAGAGGTATGTTTATACTGTTTCTTATCGTCCTAGTTTCTCTTTCTAAATGAATGATCTCCTCGATGAAATTTGGACATCATCATACGCACAACTGTATATGTCGTAGCTCTTAAATGGAGCCTCTTGCTAACCCATTGCATAATTATATGTATTTGTTTGTTTTGTTCTTTCTAAATCAGTAACCTGCCCTTCGAACCTTGGTCTTAGGTTCTTGCTGCAGCAAAAAGAATATCCGAATCACGAAAAGCTGCTAAGGTAAGAGTCCTATAGCTACTTTTACCTGGAACGTTCTTCCAGGGAACATAAGAGTTATTGGATGTCCTTTACCCTGTTTATTATTTTGAAAAACCAGCACTAACCAAGTTATTGCATGTTCTCAGGCCGCTGAAGAAACAGAACTTCCCGATGTGTCAGATGCTGCTCCTGAAGGTGCTGAAAAGGCTGGTATTGATGTAATATCAACCTCTCCAAATGCTCAATTACCCTCTGGCATTGCTGCACCTCCAGTGTCAGAGACTGCTTCCACTTTGGCTTCTCTTCGCATGGTATGTTTGAGGATAAGATTTCTTCTATCTACTTCCTATCATTCTTTCCTGCTTATAGTAAAAAACATCGAAGTTCCTTCAACTTGGACGATTCAGTCACTTTCCTTCATCTTTATAGGTCATGTGTACATTGTGAGGATTTTATTGTAGTTTGCAGTATATATAAGCTTTGTTACAGTCTATAGAATGTCAAAGGGAAGATGTGAGTTGACTAGGATTTGAGACTCCTGCAGGGAGCTATTTTAGTAAGTATTGGGTCCATTTGTTATAGAAACTTTTATTCCTTTTAAGGAAAAAATCTGATCTTCAGAAGGCCCGACTAGTTCCTTATTAGCTCAAACTAATATTGTGGCAAAAGCCAAAATACTTTGAATCATATCTGTGTAATATCAAATATCGATCTACTCACTAACTGAAAACTTTCAGCTGCGCGTGTATTTGAGAACATATGGACTGGAGCAAATGGTCCAAGCTGCGAGCTCTTCAGCTGGACTCCGGACAATCAAACGGGTTGAACAAACTTTACAAGACCTTGGGGTTTGTTTCTTCTTTATAGTACATTTCTTTTGTTGTATATGTACTTTGGAACCACTGGCTTTATCCTGGGCCAGATTTTTAACATGTCATCAGAGGTGCAATCTCAGCTGTCTAATGATCAGGACTTGTGTTGTTGGGGTGCCATTTTACATGTGGATCAAGTTCTATTACGTGAAATCTCAGCTATCTGATTATCCACTCTTTCTTTTCCCATCTGTAGGTTAATTTGAAGCCAAAGGTCCCAACAAAACTTGTCTGTGCGGAGCATCTTGAACTGAGGAAAGAGATACTAACCCTGTTAAATCTTCAAAAGCAGGTATTTGGCATTTTAATTTATAAGTGTGTATGCTTTCAACAATTTTTTTGATCACGAGTTAGGTTTAGCCATAGAGTTCAGACTAATGAACATTTTATGACTGTTTGAATATCATCTAAAGAAAGTGTTCTTTGTGTTGCCTTATGTTTTGTTTCATAATGAAGCATCTCTTGTTAAATGTCATTGTCTAGTGTAGGCAAATCCTGGAGTTGTGTGCTCAAGTGAAGATCGGCTGAGTCTTAGAATTCTGGTTGCTCAGTTGCTCTCACAGAATAGTTTGCCGCATATATCAAATGATTAACAACACATCTCAATCCCAAACAAGTTGAGATTGGCTTTATGAATTCCCACTTTCAGTCAAGCTCAATTCATATTATCATCATACTAAATAAAATTAATTTGAAAAATAAGTTAAATATTATTGTAATAATAATAATAATAGAAGTTCTTTAACAAGTCTAAAATCCATCCTCAACTAGCTATCAAACAATTACTTAGCAGCAATTGGAAACCATTCAATTTCAATTGATTTGCTGTCAGAGAAGTAAACTATCTAGGAGAAAGAAACACAAGTATATGGCAACAACTAAATATACCCATTGTAGTCTCACAAATTGGAGTTTGGTGAGGGTAAAGTACACAAACCTTACCCCTACTTCAGAGGTAGAGAGGTTGTTTTTGACAAGACCCTCGGCTCAAGGAAGAACAATCCAAATCAATCTAGAAAAAAGAGTAACAAAATGACGAGAAACATCAGATAATAAGTAAAACAAAACTACAATGAAACAATATGATAATCGAGGTACAAGGGATCGACAAATAGTAACAGAAATTGAAGGACAAGAAACTATAAAAGTAATACTGTGACTACTAATATGAACGGACAGGAAGACAATGCATTGATACCTACTATTTTACCATAATGCGTGACCTCTATACCCTCTTATCTAAGGTCATGTCCTCGGTAAGTTGAAATTGTGTCACGTCTTGTCTAATCACCTCTTGCCTATACGTCTTTAGTCTAACTCTACCTCTCCTGAAGTGATTCATACCCTATGTCTCACGCACCTCCACACAGGGGCATTTGTGCATCTCCTCTTCACATGCCCAAACCATTTTAGTCTTTCTTCCTGCATCTTGTCCTCCAGGGAAGAGACTCCTACCCTATCTCAGATATCATTATTCTTAATCTTATATCTCTTAGTATCACCGCACATCCATTGCAACATTGTCATTTCCACAACTTTCATCTTCTGAATGTGAGAGTTCTTGATTGGCTAACACTCTGCTCCATACAACATAGTTGATCTAAATAACTTGCCTTTAAGTTTTTGTGGCAACTTCGTATCACACAAAACTTTAGATGTACCCTTCATCAATACGGTGTCAGTGAATAACATCCTCGTCAATTCCATTTCCTTGGTGGATACTCAAGATACTTAAAATTTCCTCTCTTTTGGATGATTTGTGTATCAAGTTTCAATTTCACGTTAGCTTCACGCATTACGTGACTGAACTTGCACTCAACCTGAACTTTTTAGACTCTTAAGGTTTGTCTCCAAACCTCCAACTTAGCATTAACTCCGCCGCGAGTCTCGTCAATGAGAACTATGTTATCCAAAATAACCTACACCATGGCACCTCACCTTGAATTTTTCATGTTAATGGATCCATCACCAAGGCAAATAAAAAGGGGATATTTGACACAAATATGTCAGATATCCCAAAAAGAGTTTGAGGTTTATCTGACCAATTTGTCTCCTATACTTTTGCAGTATATTATTTTCCATCATTTCTGATTAGATGGACTTCCATTTTCATATCTCTCTTTCACACACACACATATTTTGGTTCAAAACCATCTCCCCCCTTCTGTGTATGTATTGTTTTCATGCTTCATTTGCAAGGATAGAGCTTCAATGACGACAGTTTTCACTTCTGTCTTATCAGAAGAAGCCAATGACCCAATTTTGTTAATGCTTGTCTTGAAAATCAGGTACAATACAAGGAGTCAGAAGGCTCATCTTATCGGGAAGGTTCATATTCTGAAACACCTGGTACACCTCCTAAGGTCAGGATGCTGCTTATAACTCTGTAACCAACCTCTTTCCTTTTTCTAAAAAATTATATTCGTTTTAAGTTTTTGGTGCTCCGCAAGATGAATTAGATAAAGATATCTTTTTGTTTGTGAGTAATGGAGTTGATATCTGCTTGTTGACAGCGTGCGCAACGTGCTACGGACCAAGATAGAACATTCATTCCCGATTCTACAAGTTTTGGAGGTAAGCAAATGACAGAAGTACTTGGGCTGTCTGTTTAAAGGTGTACTCCATTATGATCAAACTGTTCTCTTCGTTTCATTCAAACTCAAATATCATCTTTTGGTGCCAATAATTTTCATGTTCTTTAGGGGAAAGAGCTGGTAAAAAGGACCAGAAACGCAAGGTATGTGTCGTTAGTATTTTTAATGAATCTTCAAATTAATCCAAACAGTTCTTAGAGTCTACTATGTTGATTTGGGGATCCAGGGGCCTGGACGATTATCAGAAGTACCATCTTCACCAGCACAGTCAAAACGGCCTCGCAAGTTAAAAACTTCAGATGGATGAATTGGAAGGTTAGTGCATTGTCCATCTCAATGCCTTCCTTTATTTGGAGTAGTGCTTGGAAATTTAGCCATAGGATGGATAGTACATCTTTTTCTTGCTTAATAGTAAATTTTCTTAATCTCATCTACTCCCGTCTTTCATCTGCTGTGTACTCAGGACTAAAGCTACAAGGAGCTGTATAAGAAGCTGCTTCAAATCAACTTCTTTATCCTGTGTTCTGCGCCTTTTTGAATTTGCTCCACCATGAAAACATGATCCAGCCTTTCAAAACTTCAAATGTGGCTGTCTCATTTGAGTGGCACAAGAATGTTAGATGCCACTCTAATGCCTTTCTATGGAGATCAAGTCCTCCTTTGCATCAGAGTACAGTCCCCGCAGTCTGTATATACATCTGTATCTTATAGTTGTGATTAGCATGTTAACCTCACCTTGCTTACGGTGTCTCTTTGGCATGTCACTAAATTATTGAGCCGTATTGGCTGTTTCTGTATTAACACATCAAAGTAGTTCTGCTTTAGTCGCATTTGGATTGCTTACCAGGAAGGACTGATATGAGTTAACACTGGCACTGCATAGAAGCTGAAACAGATAGTGTAGTGATTGCGAACCATAATATATCCTTTCTATATGTTAAGAATTTTATGAAGTTAAATTTTAGTAATTTTGTTTCTTTGTAATCTATATATAAAGTGATTTTTGGTATGAAGTGGATTCTACCAACCCATACTTCAAAAGTTTAAACATTTTTTTTATAGAAAATTAGTGAAGGTTATAACTTTAAAATCTTAAACAAAACAGAATTTTTTTTAAAAAAAAAAAAAAAGAAGGTTGAGAAAATGGATTATACTAGTTACTCCTCATGAACTACTTCTTCTTGCTTGGTAAGATAGCAAACTACAGGACATGAGGAAAAAATTTAATTTGCAACCATGCCCTACATTATTAATGCGAACAACATAATTGAATTGTAAAAAATACATATAGTGGAGGTGGGAAGAAAACTTGGCCACTTCATCTATATTGTTATTTCTTTACATAGTGAACATGTACTGTAAGTTTGCTCGAAGTGATTGGGAGTATACATCTCTCTTACACAAGAGATAATAGTATTGGCATTAAACTTCACAGTATGTTCAAAAGAAGAACTGTCGCGAAGCAAGCTAGTCCGTGAACACAACATTGAGAATATCGGGGAACTTCTCTTTGATTGCTGCTTTGACTCCTGATCCAATAGACTCAGGCCCAACATACTTCACATTGCAATTGCCTTCCTCAACTGATAAAACTTCCACACTACCACCAAAATTTTTAATGGCAGGTCTTAATATATCTAGGTGAGCATTCACAGCCTGAAAGAACATGAGTTCTTAGTTAAAGACATTTTGAAAATCATCATCTATTAGCAACTGAATTTGCAAATATTCACCTCAGCAGTGGTTTCAACTACTTGCTCATTGTATACTTGGCGAATATCCTTGATGGCTTCTCCAAACTTTTCTTTGAGTACCCTTTCAATCCCCATCTTCATTGTAGTTGTTGCGCTAGGACAACTCTCGCACGCTCCTATATCCATTGCATACAAAATATTAAGCATTTCCAATTATGAATCAAAAAGTTACCATAGATTTAGTTAAGGAGAAATATATGGTGGTTGACTGCCGTTTCTTCTTTTTGCGATTTTGTTGAACAGTTATGTTAGAAAGAACACATTGGCGGATCTCCAGGTTTTGTCAAACATAGGAAAATTGAATTATATGTAAAATTGTAAACCCCATCCACCATTGAAAAGTTTGAACTGTTAGAGAGGACACATTTATTTATTTAGGTCAACAACATATCCTCCACAATTGCAGGCCTAACTTTTATTTCTTTATGAGAGAGAGAAAGAGAGAGAGAGGGAATTATTTACGAATTATGTCTCAATAAAAATAGTAATTATATACACTCCACAAAGAGTATACTCTAAAAACAAGAAAGAAAACCAGAAACCAGAACTTTAAACTTTAAACACATGTTGTGATCTTACAAAGTTCTGCTTAGTCACTCCAGTGAGGTATCCTAGGAGATAGAAAGATAGCGAGAGGCGTGAGGAAATAAAGATCTCTTATCCTATTCTCTTACCTTATTTAGGGGCTACTAAAGCATGTGTAGGCTTTGGAAATATTCAACAGAAATAAGAGAGAAGAATTGGTTGTCAACCAGTATATTATCTGGAAAATATTACTTGTTAAAAAAGAAATTTAACAAACATTAATCAATAAATGTCCATTATTCATGAACTCTATTGGCTTACATTATTTGCAAAACATTTTGTGCAAGCTTAGGCTGGGTTGGAATTGTAAGCTCGGAGACTCATTCAGTTCCCTATTGAGGAAAAACAACAACATTCATTATCTAATCTATTAAGTATTTTACAGAAAAAAAACTAAATCAAATTAAGTAGCGGTTGTGGTACAACATAGTTTGGTGCTTCCAACTGCAGTGCCCCGCCCCCTCTTTTTAACTTTTCACTTTGTTTGTCATAGTTTGACTTGCACAAAGTTTAGTGAAGAGAGGAAGACTATTGAAATTTGTGGTCTTAAGTTGCCATAATATTTGTGTGGCTATTAAAACTTCTGAAATTTGTTCTCTTGCCTTAACAATTTTGTGACTACAAAAGCTTAAGGAAATATAGGGATGTCAAATGTATCATTCGTACATATAAGGAAATAGTGCCGAACAAAATGGAAGGGAGGAGTATTATATACTACAAGTCAAAAGTTCAGATGAGACTTGCTTTTAGTTTATAAAATCTCAAACTCGATAAATAGGAACTTCGACACTAGTTTCTTGGGGTATCTCTCTTCAGCACACATAATGTCAACTCTAATCCAGTGCTTACTCAAAACCAAGACTATAGAATCAGGTTATCAGGATAGAAGTACTCTTTTATCCAATTGTTGCTGCATGTATGCATCAGCGGTCATTAAAGTTGTTCACGTACATTCAAGGACGGAGTGGGGAACATAGCCTTCCAGAGATTATACTTTGCCATTCATGTATTTATGCATAAATAAGTCCTCCTAAAATTTTAACTTTAACTTAGTAAGCCACTCACAACCCTGAGTGGGAGAATAAAATCCTTGAAACTACCCTCAATGGACTCATTGTGCACTGTTAATTCTCAAAGAGGCCTGAGGCCAGGTTACCCACTTTCTCCCATGTATTTCTTTTAGTTATGGAGGTTGAGTCAGATTATTAAAACTACTGTGAGAAGTGGCTGGAAAAAGGTTTTAAAATGGCGGGTCATTCAGGAAATTCTATAGAAACTTCTCGTAGTCTTTATGCTGATGATACCTTGTTGATGTGTGAGGCTGAAACAGAACAAGTGCTGCACTTGAGGGTGGTTCTGTTGCCTTTCGAAGCAGTAAAAATCAACAAGGCCAAGAGTTCAATTTTTCTCTGAATGTTGACAGTGATATTAATATGCTGGCTGATATCATAAATTGCAAGATTGAGAAGTTCCCTACCCTGTTTGGGACTGCGTATAGGCACTAAATTTTGCGCGGAGTGGTGTAATTGAGAAAGCGTGAAAGTTGACTCCATGGAAGCAACAATACCTATCATTTGGAGGAAGATTGACATCAGTAAATAGTGTGTTGATGGCATTCCAACCTATCAAATGTCTCTGAATCCTATGCCAGCTAGTGTGGTGAAGAATATTGATAAGATCAGAAGACATTCCCTATGGGAAGGTAATGCAGAAAGGAGATGTTTTTATTTAGTAGTGGAGCACTGTGATTTGTAACAAAACATAAGAAGGAAGGGGGTCTGGGAGTTAGAAATCTTAGTGCTCACAACCAAAGCTTGCTCTGTAAATGGCTACGGAGATTAAATGATGGGGTAAAAGTTCCCTGAAAAGAGGTAATTTATGGAATAGAGGGTTTTGGGGCACCTAAAGCAGAGAAGACGCCATATGGAGTAGCTGTTTGGAGACATTTGCAATCTCTGGGAAGAATCCAAAAAGTATGTTTCATGAGGGTAGGCAATAGGAGAAAATCAGACTTGGGAAGATAACTGGGATGGTTTTGGTTCGCTGAAATCAATTTCCCAACCTATACAGATTGTACTATAACCCGAAAGTTTTCTTAGCTGATATATTTACTGATTCAATATGGAACTTCCAGTTCAGAAGGAATCTTTTTCTTTTCTTTTCTTTTTTGACAAAGATAATGTTAGTTCAGAAGGAATCTCTTTGGAAGAAGTGGAAGAATTTGATTTATTATTCAGAAGAAGCAATCAGTAGCATTAATTCCAGAAAGAGAAAATAGCCTAAGCTGGGAAGCTAGCAAAAAAGGTTCTTTTACTGTAAGCTGAACAACAACAAACCCTGTGTTATCCCACGAGTGAGGTTAGACTCTGGAGAAAGGGTAAGATGCACACAGCCTTAGACCTTAGCCCTTAGCCCTACCCTTATGGGGTAGAGAGACTATATCTGATTGACCCCCGGCAACCCCCTCCTTTCTGGGGACTCGGGACCGGCAATGTGATCGTTCTCTTAGTGTCGCAGCTCATTCTGTAAAATACTCGACGCTGTTTAGCCGGTGCAAGTACTAAAATGGCCTTGGAAGATGATATGGAAGACTAAAGTCCCAAAGAAAGTTGTTCTTCTTTGGTTGGCTAGTGTCTCATGAAGATGTCTAACTCAAGAAAATTTGAAGAGTAGGGGTTGGACAATGTGCAGCACATGCTACTTATGTGAGAAAGCTTGTGAATCTGTGGATCATATGCTGGTGTGTTGTTAATTTACTTGGAAAGCATGGAACATGTTCATAGCTAACTTTGGAATCCATCGGACAAGTCCTATGAAGTTCAAGAATGTGTTAAAGAAGTTTGGAGAACTGCATGTCCAGAAGCATCCCTAAAGAAGATCTGGAGAGCTATTCCGCTTAGCATAGCTTGGACTATTTGGAAAGAAATAAAAGATGTTTGAACGAAAAATGGAGCAATCTATTGAATCTAATTATTTGCACCACTTGTCCTATTGGAAAGATTTAAAACTTTTTAATGGATTCAAAAAACATGATGGACATGCTAGACTGCTTAAGATTTTGATGTAATCAAGCCAGCATTCTCTGTACTTCCGCAGTATCAGTTAGATACTGTTCTAATAAAATCTTACCTTATCAACAAACAAACAAAAAATAGGTAGCATAACGTATAACTGCCTTCTCTAGACTAAACGCATCTTTGCCAGATTTCCGAGCCTTCTCCTGGACTAACATCACAGTCTATCATCAGCATCATCTAAGCTTAAAAGTACATTGGTATTTAAGTCCTATGGTAACTCTACGAGAACCTACCATGGATAGAAACAAATAACTTCTCGGAGATATGTTCCTTTTGCCTCATTCCAACATTCAATCTTCACATCAAATTAAGTCCAGAATAAAAACACAAATGCAGACACCACCAAAAACAAAAATTCCATTGGCATGTCTCCATTATGATACAGACTTGCAAAACCAAAGAACTTCTAACAATTCACATAGACTCAGACATAGCTTCCCTAGAGTACAAGGTGATCATTGATGATAATATTGTTAAATTTCTTGTCTAAAGGAGCGCAAAGTACCAAACTTTCATTAGGAAAGATTGATGAGCTAGTGATAGACATCCATTACTGTATAGGTCCAACTCAAACCTTGAGTAAAGAGTTAATTTTTGTGGCAATACAAGCATTTCATCAACAAGAACAAAAGTTCAAACTAACTCAGAAAGACAACAACTTGATACCTGGTACGATTAATCCCTCAATTGACTAATTATTAATGGAGTAAATATTGAAGTTCCAGCAACGAATCAAGTGAATTGGATAAAGAAAAAACTAACCTTGAAGCTGGAGGGAAACGACACCGTCTTCCACAGAGACGACCTCAACGTTTCCGCCATCAGAAATGAGATATGGTCGAACATCTTCAAGAACCATATCGACGTTTTCAGGGGTGAGCTCGAATTGTTTAGCAGAGTAAAGACCAGGGGATGGAGCTGGGACTGGGGACCCATCGACGGTAGCTTTAACAAGATTGAATCTTTTATGAGCTACGCCGATTCTCTTGAGGAAAATGGACGAGGGCTGTGGATTTTGAGACTTGAGTGGAAGTTCCGGCATGTATATTGAAGAGGAAATTTGGGAAACGCCCATTGCTGCTAAATGCGCCATTGCTCTGTCTTGGACTTCTTTCTAATTTTTGTTTGTTGTGGTGGTTATTTGTGATAGATCATGAACCAAAGTGATGGCAAACAAAAATTGTATATAACCTCATTTATATTTTTCAAGCTATCAATTTTTTTTTAATAAAAATATTTTTTTTTAATGTTTATTAGTCGATGCGATAGCGGTCGGGATGAAAGGGAGACTTGCTTTTTGTATGACAAGAAGGTATCACCAAAGTTTAAAGTCGTATTTTTATTGAGTAGTGGTTAGATCGATTTTATCGTATGGGATGACATATTGGCTAGTCAAGAATTTTAAAGTTTACAAAAGTAAGTGGGGAAAGTGAAAATGTTGAAATGGGTATATGTGCATAGTGTATACTAGAAGCGATAGGATGAGGACTTTCTACACGAAATTAGAATGGCATATATGATGGACAAAATGAGGGAGGGAGATTGAGATGGATAGAGCATGTAAAGTGGAGATGTATAGATGCTCCAATAAGGTGGTGCAAGAGGTTGGATACAGTGGTTTTGAGGAGAGGCATGATATGCCAAAAAAATATTAGAGAGAAGTGATTAGGCAGGATATGATGTATTTGTACCTTACCGAGGACATGTGTATGCATGACCTTAATACGAGAGTACGAAGGTTGTGGGTAAGGATAGAAAGTTAGTAGGTAGTTGAGAGGTGTTTTTCTTACTAGCTTATCTCAGTCCTTGATTGGGTTGAGTTGTTATCGATCGTAGTAAATAACATATTCATGTAGTCTTTAGTTTTGTGTTTAGGTGACTGCACCTTCTTGTTAATGTTATAATTTTTTTGCATATATGATATCACTTTACTATTAGTTGTCATGTTTTTCTTTTGATCACTCTTTTGATTTGTTTGTGTCACGATCCAGACTGTCGTAATTGACACCCATATTAACCCTCATGTGGGATAACTATTACTACAACTCAGCAATAAACTAATCATTTAAAGATAACAGAGCAGGTTTAAATGCAGAAATTATGTAGAGTTCCCATAAACTCTAAATATTTAAACAAATAACTAACCAAACTAATTAATCCCTAAAACCTGAAAGTCATTGTACCAAAACATCTAAAGTGTAACAAGTCTAAGAAAAAATGGTATAACCCAAACTAACATAAGAAATATATAAATACTCTAAGTACGAAGGAATTGGACTAAAACAATAAGAAGGACTTCATGGCGGTCTGAAAGAATTGGCTTACCCTTGAAATTCGATCTCGATTGTTTGTCTCCTAACTAAGGTCTATCAAAAGCTACCATGTAACAACAAAAGAACGAGAAAGTCCAGGATGAACAGATAACCACAGTGTACAGGTAGAATCACACGACTATTACAGTAAGCGAAACATATATAAGCAGTCATAACATAATAAGCATAACATGTAATATATATATATATATATCGTGTATTATTATAAGCATGAAGCTCAAAACTTAAAAGTTGAATTACCATTTTGCCCCTCTAATAAATTAAAATTTATATAATTTATATATATAATCTTCTTATTCTCAGTTCATAATCTTGACCTTTCAAATTTCTAATATAAATGTAAATAAAAATAAAAATGAGTAATTATCAAGAAATTAAAGTAGATTCATGTATCTTTAAAATTGTATTTCATCTCTATCTTTTTTATATTTATTTTAACAATAATTCATGTGACTTTTCATGTTTCCATAATTTTGTTCTATAAATTTAACTTTTTCAAGAAGAACTTTTATTTACCACTCCTACAATTCTTGTATGTAGGAACTCTAAACATGTGAAATAATGTTACAATATGAGGTGAAAGTTGTGAGATTCCCTTATGCAGTTACGAGAATAGATAAGAATTCAATTACTGAAACATCAGAGCTTAATGTGTTAGTTTTATATTTATTTGTAGTAAGAATTATAATAAAACTTTTTTGTCTCTCTTCATATAGTTGAATTCTTGTTTTATTAGCAAGTTGCTCTAAATTCATATTTGTATTTTGTATGCTCAAATGTTCAGAAATGCCTAATTATCTTACTCATGTGTACCTTTTTTTTCTCCATACTTATAATTTTTACATATACATTAATTTTCATCTTTAAGAATGGATGTGATACTATACGATGTTTACTCTTTTATTTTCTTTTTATGGAAAAAAAAGGTGAAACATATAATATTAGATTAATGGTGGATAAGTTATATATGACAAAATTAAATTTTATATAAAAATAGTAGTTATTCATAAATATCCTGATTTTTAAAATATAAATGATAAAAAAAATTTACATCTTAGTTTTGAATATTTATAGTTAACTAATTAGTTTAAAGTGTTTGTGGATAAAAATTTAATAAAATACTTAAAACACATTCATTAAAAAAGTTGAAAGGTTTTATTTTCCTTCACTCAAAGTTAATCTTACACTATCTAGCATTATTCTACCAATACAACGGAACTATCAAGAAATTTAATTTAGATAGTTGTTATTTGTTAGCTTTGCAAACTTATTTTTTGAATTACAAACAAAGTTTATTTTATTAATTTCTCATATTATTATCTCGATGCATTCACTTGGAGGTCAGAAAATTGGAGTGTCACAATTAGTAGTAAAACAAAGTAAGAAATCTCAATTAGACATATTTTATTATTTAGTAGTATTATCTTTTAAGAAATAATACACTCATGAGTTACACGTGCAAAGTGCGTGCCCGAAAACTAGTATTATTATAAGCATGAAGCTCAAAACTTAAAAGTTAAATTACCATTTTGTCCCTCTAATAAATTAAAACTTTTATAATTTTCATATATATAATCTTTTTTATTTTCATTCCATAATCTTGACCTTTCAAATTTCTAACACAAATGTAAATAAAAATAAGTATTATTTCTTATAGACAAGAAATTAAAGTAGATTCATGTATCTTTAAAATTAAATTTCATCTCTATCTTTTTTATATTTTTTTAACAATAATTCATGTGACTTTTCATGTTTCCATAATTTTGTTCTATAAATTTAACTTTTTCAAGAAAATTTTTTATTTACCACTCCTATAATTCTCGTGTGTAGGAACTCTAAACATGTGAAATAATGTCATAATTTGAGGTGAAAGTTGTGAGATTCCCTTCTACAGTCACGAGAATAGACAAAAAATCAATTATTGAAGCATCGGAGCTTGATGTGTTAGTTCATACTTATTTGTAGTAAGAATTATAATAAGACTTTTTTTTATCTCTCTTCATATAGTTGAATTCTTGTTTTATTAGCAAGTTGATTTAAATTCATATTTGTATTTTGTACCTTTTCTTCTTCTTTTTTTTTTTGTTTCGTACTTATAATTTTACATATACATTAATTTTCATCTTTAAGAATGAATGTGATAAAATATGATATTTACTCTTTTCTTTTCTTTTTATGAAAAAAAAGGTGAAACATATAATATTAGATTAATGGTGGATAAGTTATGTATAAAGAGAAAATCAAATTTTATATAAAAATAGTAGTTATTCATAAATATTCTGATTTTCAAAATATTTTATAATAATTATCAGGAGATTCAAAAGGCAAAGTAAAAAAGTTGAAAGGTTTTGTTTTCCTTTCACTCAAAGTTAATCTTACACTATTTTTTCTAACATTATTCTACCAATAAAATGGAACTATCGAGAAATTTAATTTAGATAGTTGTTATTTTTCCTTTTTGCTTTGCAAACTTATTTTTTGAATTATAAACAAAGTTTATTTTATTAATTTCTCATATTATTATCTCGATGCACTCACTTGGAGGTCAAAAAATTGAGGTGTCACAATTAGTAGTAAAACAAAGTAAGAAATCTCAATTACACATATTTTATTATTTAGTAGTATTATCTTTTAAGAAATAATACATGGTTACACGCGCAAAGTGCGTGCTCGGAAACTAGTATATATATACACATCAATTATCATTTCAAGAGCAATGTACAATTACATATTCTCAATAACAAGTAGATATGATAATTCAATCGTCCTCTCATAGCACCCATATCCAAACTATTAGTGTATCGGAATGTGACACCCGATCCCAATTAGTTGCCGGAACATGACACTCGATCCAATGTATGTCGGAACATGACACTTGATCCGAACATCACAACCACAATCACATTCACACTCATAATGTACATACCCATATTCATATAATCAAGTGTTAAATCATGGAAAACATTTGTTTATTCATACTCATTTCATTAGATTTGATCAACAATGTTTCGTCCACATACATATACATGCATTACATGAAGAATTACTAACATACATCACACAAACATGAAATCAAACCATCACCTACCTCGAAACCAAGCTTGAATCCCCCCAAGGCACTTGAATTTCTCTTTTAAAATTAGTTTCGCTTGTTTGTGATCTAAAAACAATAAATTAATGCAAGGATCAATAAACGATGCCTAATTATCTGGATTACAATCGAACTTATCAATCCTAAGCCGAATCCAAGATCATAATACCCAACTTAGGGCTTTTTCCACCATTAGTTTCAGGTCAAAACCCTCCTCCATTGATAAATCACCCAAGAATTTAAGTTCTACAAATCAAAAACGGATTAGATGAGTAAAAACATTACCTTTCACGCTATAAGAGGTGGAAAACTGTTAAGAACTTGCACTGGGTCGTTTCTTAGTTTTCAAGAATGAAAATTGCAGAATAAGAACGTTTTGAGGGTTTAGTCCCGACTTAATTCACGACTGGGCCGCTACGGCGGATCCCATCCCGCCACAGTAGTTCCACCCTGGCGGCTTGCATGGAGACAGAACGTCAGAATTAGAGTTCCAAGCCCCCATTTCACAACACACCTTCAACCCTTATTGTTCAAAAATGATGTTCACGTTAAGATCAATTTCAGGAGTTCTACTCACCCGAATTTCTTGTAAAGTTATACGGGTTTCCTAATGTCTTGGCTATCCACTCATGTAACTAAATTTATTATTCCCTCAGTTTAAAAAAGAATGACCCTATTTTTATTTTTTTTAGTCTGTTTTTAAAAAGAATGATCCATTTTCTTTTTGGCAACACTTTAATTT